TGTCCACTAATAGATCTTAACCCAATATTGATAATCCCAAGTACCGCCACACATCAGTCCCTTTGAGTTCGGAGACGAGCCCGCCAACTTTGGCGACTCTGTCACCGTGCAGTGCACCATTTCCAAGGGCGACCTTCCCGTGGACATCAACTGGCTCTTCAACGACTATCCCATCAACGAGTACCACGGGGTAACCACGTCGAAGATTGGCAAGAAGGTCAATGTCCTCACCATCGACTCGGTGAACGGCAACAATGCGGGCAACTATACGTGCCGGGCCAGGAACAAGGCCCAATCTGTGGAGTACACGGCTGCTCTGGTGGTCAACGGTGGGCCGAAGGATTCAATTTCACACACATATTTTAAAGTAGAATAGTCTTTGGTTTTACTGTTCCTTCATTTGGTTTGTTTTTGTTTTCCAACTCCCGCAAGTCTTGCCCCAAATCACGCCCTTCGCCACGGGCTCGCAGCCCACACACCTGGGCCAGTACATAACCTACCAGTGCACCCTTACGGAGGGCGATCTGCCCCTGAATATTCGCTGGACGTTCAACAACCAGCCGCTCTTCAACGACGAGGACCAGGACATCCTCATCGCCAAGCTGGATCGCCGCAGCAGCGTCCTCACCATCGAGAGTGTGGCGGCCCGCCACGCCGGCAATTATACTTGCCACGGGGAGAATGCGGCCGGCAGGGCCTCCTACAGCACCCAGCTGCGAGTGATAGGTCCTTGTCGCAGGATTAGACTTAGATACGGCTTTCTTTGATCCGCTTTTGATTTATTTTGTGCACCTTTTGTTTTACCATCCCACCACCATCGCCACCGTTCCAGTTCTGCCGCGCATCATACCCTTCGCCTTCGAGGAGGGTCCTGCCCAGGTGGGCCAGTACCTGACGTTGCACTGCTCCGTCCCAGGAGGCGACCTGCCCCTCACCATCGAATGGACGCTGGACGGCCAGGAGATCCCCGAGGAGTCGGGCATCAGCACTGCGCGTGTAGGTCGTCGTGGCAGTGTCCTGACCATCGAGGCTGTGGAGGCCTCCCATGCGGGGAATTTCACCTGCCACGCCCACAACTCGGCGGGTCATCAGCAGTTCACAACACCTCTGAACGTCTACGGTTAGAAATCCAAAGGGAACGGGTCGCTCGAGTAGTTCTTTGTGGTTGCATACTAACCTCGGCAAAAGTCAGCAAAAGTGTGGATGGTAGATGGGGATTTTGGATGTCTTTAACATTTTTAATTCCGGAACAAATATCTTAAAATATAAAGATCTTAAAAAACATCCATTTAGAATCCAAAGTTCCCATCTTTTACCATCTACCACAGCATGATCTTCCGAACACCTGTCTCTATCTGCTGTTGTCTTCCTAACTGCCTCGTCTGTGAATCTGAATCTGTTTCTATATCCTATATCTGATCTGTTTGGATCTGTCACTGTTTGGTATTTAAGGCCTGGCGCACACTGACCCACGAAAGCTTGCATGAATGTCATCGATAAAGCACTGAAATGAATCGTATTAACGAACCAATAGATAAAGAATAGGCTTTTAGGGAAAAATACTTCTTCTGAAAGATAGGTTTGGGGTATAGGTCCATCTACTGCCTTCATTATATTTTATGTTTAATTTTAATTTCCCATTTTTTATGAAAATCAAAGTGCCCCCCAAACTGGCGCCTTTGCCCGGGAACTCGCCCCTGTATGTGGGCGACTACTACCAACTATCCTGCGCCGTGGTGCACGGCGATGCGCCCTTCAACATCACCTGGTACTACAACGGCCAGCCGGCAGGTGACCTGCCCGGAGTCACTATCCTGATGATCAGTCGCCGGAGCAGCTCGCTGAATATCGAGAGTGTGCGGGGCGACCATGCCGGCACCTACACCTGTCGAGGTGCCAACCGGGCGGGCGAGTCGTCCGTCGAGACGCTTCTGAGTGTCAAGGGTTTGTGCCAGTCCTGATTTCAAGAAGTTTCCAGGAGGCCTGTAGTTATAGCTCCTAGATTAGGCGAACTATCATCTGTATATCCCCACTGTCTGTCTCTGAGTCCTCTGTTGTTGGTGTTGGTATGGTATATCCTGTGTAAAATAACACTAGGGGGATATTACCCCACTGTATAGACTGTTCACTCACTGCACGATTTCCTCAGAGCTGCCCCAGATCGAGCAGTTCCACTTCAATGCCAACGGGGTCAATGGTGGCCAGGCGGTCCGGGTCATGTGCATGGTCACCTCGGGGGACCTGCCCATCGACATCTACTGGCTGAAGGACGGACAGCCCCTGTTGCGCTCCATCTACCACAAGATCGACGAGTACACCCTGATCCTGTCCCTGCGACAGACCACCATTAGCGACTCCGGCAACTATACGTGTGTGGCCAGCAATGCGGCGGGATTGACCAGTCGCTGGTCCACCCTAAAAGTGAAGGGTATTCAAAGGACCCCATTGTATATAAAAAGTTTATAGTGTATTATTTTTTTGAGATTTTTTTTATAAAGTTTTTCTTGCTTACTCTTTCCAAAGATATTGGCCAAACAAGTCTGAGGTTTATTGTGATGAGGAAAACCATTTTTGTTGCCTACTTTCCAGCATAATAGTCCTTCTTAAGAAAAATAATAGGATTTTCTCTATATAATTTCATTTAAAACAAGAAAGGAAAGCTAACTTCGGGCGGAGCCGAAGTTTATATACCCTTGCAGTTAAAACCGGATATATATCGCAAACATCGGATATAGTTGGCCGATCCTTATGGGAATAGGAATATATAATCCAATTTATTACAATACAAAATCTAAAAAAAGTCCCAAACTTCTATCTTCAAAAATACGAAAGTTGATATTTCTACCGAATACCATTTCCGATCGTTCAGTTATATGGCAGCTATGGGATATAGTCGGCCGATCCTAATGAAATTTGGTAGGTTGGATCAACTGACCAAGAATTAAATCTGTACTAAGTTCCAGCTTTCTATCTTCAAAAACACGAAAGTTGGGTCATTTCCGATCGTTCAGTTATATGGCAGCTATAGGATATAGTCGGCCGATCCTTATGAAATTTGGCATGACGTAATGTTTTGCCAAATATAGCTCACATGTCAAATTTGAACTCTCTAACTCTAAAAACACCAAAGTTATACCATTTCCGATCAATCAGTTATATGGCAGCTATAGGATATAGTCGGCCGATCCGGGCCGTTCCGACTTATATACTGCGTGCAAAGGAAAGAAGGGTGTGTGCAAAGTTTCAAGACGATAGCTTTAAAACTGAGAGACTAGTTCGCGTAGAAACAGACAGACGGACAGACAGACGGACAGACGGACAGACGGACAGACGGACAGACGGACATGCTCATATCAACTCAGGAGGTGATCCTGATCAAGAATATATATACTTTATAGGGTCGGAGATGTCTCCTTCACTGCGTTGCACACTTTTGACCAAAATTATAATACCCTCTGCAAGGGTATAAAAATATTTAATAATAGAAAATCTTAAATTTCCCTCCCAACTCCCCAAAAGAACCGCCCGTGCTAGCTCCGCTCCTGATATCCACTTCCGTTTGCGATGTCGGCGACTATGTGCAACTCACGTGCATTGCCAGCCGGGGTGCCACGCCCATTTTATTCGAATGGTGGCTCGATGGGCGGCAGCTGCACGATGGAGGCGATGATGTCGTCACACAGGCAACGGTGGGCGAGCATACCAGCCTGCTGATCATCAACCGGGTGGGGGCGGGCCATGCGGGCAACTACACGTGCAGGGCAAGCAACCAGGTGGGCGTGGCCGAGCGACTAGACGGGCTAACTGTAAATGGTAATTGAGGGCAGGAGCTATACTTTGTCTCGCTTACTCCTTTGACTTTACAGTTTTTGCTACAGACTTCTCTTAATCGAAAACTTTCACTCTCTAGGCCAAAAAAAAAGATGGATCGAGGTCTATATACATATGTACATATGTGCAGTTTTGAATATTACTCTTAAATGTTATGAACCTTGGAAGGAAACATCCCCAAGGCGGAAAAGTTAGACGATATCTAACCAATAGGTTCCCCATAAAATAATATGTTTGTAAATCACCTGGCAATCGAAACACAAATATGACTCTGCACACACATCCATGCACAGCACACAGAACTACCCAAAAACCCTGTTTGAGGACTCTATTTTTTGATTAATTTTTTATTTGAAAAGTTCACAAAGCTCATGCTCCAACACCGAATAAACCAACCAACAGTCGACAAGCATCTGCAACATTTACTACCAAAAACCGCTTCTAATTGTCTACTTAACCGAAACTAAACTTAATCGTTACTAAGAAACTTGGTCTTCCGCCAATCGAGACCGAGTCTGCGCTTCCGTAAACGTAAACCCATCGCCCCGATCAGTCTTGCCCCAAAATCCATCCCAAATCCCTCATTAATTAACTTTCATTTTATTAATCATAATTTACTTAGCGATTAAGTCACAAAACAAAACCCATTTGCACAAATAAATGGTCTTTGTTTTTCACAAACTGCATGAACTTTAACCTTTAGTTTTGGTTTAACTTTAGTTTAATTAAAATCCAACTTTTATTTGTCCTTTTAACACTTTGGTTCATTGTGCTAAACTTTAGTTGTAGCTTGGCCTTTTAATTTTATTTAAAACTTAAGCCAAAGAATGTAAATACTTTTGAAAGAAAAACTAAATTAAAGAAAAGTATTTGCAAGCTTTTTAAGCAAATGGAAATGATACGATTGCTAAACCTTTTTCTCTCCTATAACAAGTTTCTTAATTCATTTACTTAAGCAAAGATATTAAAAATAATATCCCTCAGTAAATTTTTAAAATATATATACTTTTAAAATCATTTCGATTTGCTTGATATCAAGTCCGTGTTGATCCGCTTCCTCTATGAATCTTAACTGAAATGCATGCATCAAAAACTTGTAGTTAAGAAACCGCCACAACCTTACTAACATATTCTCTTTCCACAACCACGAAAACCACTCCCATGTGCAGTACCCCCAAGATGGATCCTCGAACCCACCGACAAAGCCTTTGCCCAGGGATCAGATGCTAAAGTTGAATGCAAAGCCGATGGATTCCCCAAGCCCCAAGTCACATGGAAGAAAGCTGTTGGTAAGTATGGGCATCCCCTCCCCTTTAGGACAAATCTTTAAAACTTTTTCTTCCTAGGTGATACCCCTGGAGAGTACAAGGACCTGAAGAAGAACGACAATATTCGCGTAGAAGAAGGCACCCTCCACATCGACAATATCCAGAAGACCAACGAAGGCTACTACCTGTGCGAAGCTATCAACGGCATCGGCTCTGGACTCTCGGCAGTGATCATGATCAGTGTCCAGGCCCCACCAGAGTTCACCGAGAAGCTGAGAAACCAGACCGCCCGACGAGGAGAACCCGCCGTACTGCAGTGCGAGGCCAAGGGAGAGAAGCCCATCGGAATTTTATGGAACATGAACAACATGCGCCTGGACCCCAAGAACGACAACCGCTACACCATTCGCGAGGAGATCCTGTCCACCGGCGTCATGTCCAGCTTGTCCATCAAGCGTACCGAAAGGTCTGACTCCGCCCTGTTCACCTGCGTGGCCACCAATGCCTTTGGATCCGACGATGCCAGCATCAATATGATTGTTCAGGAAGTGCCCGAGATGCCCTACGCCTTGAAGGTCTTAGACAAGTCCGGCCGATCTGTGCAGCTCAGCTGGGCCCAACCCTACGATGGAAACTCGCCCCTGGACCGGTACATCATTGAGTTCAAGCGTTCCCGCGCCTCCTGGAGTGAAATCGATCGAGTCATCGTGCCCGGACACACCACCGAAGCCCAAGTCCAGAAGCTCAGCCCGGCAACCACATACAACATTCGCATCGTCGCCGAGAACGCCATTGGAACCTCTCAGTCCTCCGAGGCAGTGACCATCATCACCGCCGAAGAAGCTCCTTCCGGCAAGCCACAGAACATCAAGGTGGAACCCGTGAACCAGACCACCATGCGGGTCACCTGGAAGCCACCACCACGCACCGAATGGAATGGCGAAATCCTGGGCTACTATGTCGGCTACAAGCTATCAAACACCAACTCCTCATACGTCTTCGAGACCATTAACTTCATCACCGAGGAGGGCAAGGAGCACAACCTGGAACTGCAGAACCTGCGCGTCTACACCCAGTACTCTGTGGTGATCCAAGCCTTCAACAAGATCGGAGCCGGCCCTCTGAGCGAGGAAGAGAAACAATTCACTGCCGAAGGTACACCCAGCCAGCCCCCCAGCGACACTGCCTGCACAACCTTGACCTCCCAGACCATCCGCGTCAGCTGGGTGAGCCCGCCCCTGGAGTCCGCCAACGGAGTGATCAAGACTTACAAGGTTGTCTATGCCCCCAGCGATGAGTGGTATGGTAAGTAGATCAGCCTTCTAATCTTTAGGGTTTCAAATACTAAGTATAACGAATATCCTTAATAGATGAGACCAAGCGTCACTACAAGAAGACTGCCTCCTCGGACACCGTTCTCCATGGGCTGAAGAAGTACACCAACTACACCATGCAAGTCCTGGCCACCACAGCCGGAGGTGATGGAGTTCGCAGCGTGCCCATTCACTGCCAAACCGAACCAGATGGTAAGTAGCTAGGATTCTCCACCTCTTACTAGATGAACGGCTAACATCCTTTTCCTCCACAGTTCCCGAAGCTCCCACCGATGTCAAGGCCCTGGTTATGGGCAATGCCGCCATTCTTGTTTCTTGGAGATCACCAGCACAGCCCAACGGAATCATCACCCAGTACACTGTTTACTCAAAGGCCGAAGGCGCTGAAACCGAGACCAAGACCCAGAAGGTGCCCCACTACCAGATGAGCTTCGAGGCCACAGAACTGGAGAAGAACAAGCCATACGAATTCTGGGTAACTGCCAGCACGACTATTGGCGAGGGTCAGCAATCCAAGAGTATTGTGGCCATGCCCAGTGACCAGGTGCCCGCCAAGATCGCCTCCTTCGACGACACCTTCAACGCCACCTTCAAGGAGGACGCCAAGATGCCCTGCCTGGCTGTCGGTGCCCCCCAACCAGAAATCACCTGGAAGATCAAGGGAGTGGAGTTCAGCGCCAATGATCGTATGCGTGTCCTCCCCGATGGATCTCTTCTGATCAAATCCGTGAATCGCCAGGATGCCGGCGACTATTCCTGCCATGCTGAGAACTCGATTGCCAAGGACTCGATCACCCACAAGCTCATCGTTTTAGCTCCCCCCCAGTCGCCCCATGTCACGCTCTCGGCCACCACCACAGATGCTCTGACAGTGAAACTAAAGCCCCATGAGGGAGACACTGCTCCTCTGCACGGATACACTCTGCACTACAAACCAGGTGGGTTGATAGTTACGAGTTAGGTGGCTTTGTCCTTTAACTTACAATCCTTTTCAGAATTCGGCGAATGGGAAACTGCTGAAGTATCCGTGGACTCACAGAAGCACAACATTGAGAATCTACTCTGCGGATCCCGCTATCAGGTCTATGCCACAGGGTTCAACAAGTAAGTCCACAAATACTTGATGGAACTTAAATTCTAAATCTTCTTAATTCCTAGCATTGGAGCTGGAGAGGCTTCTGATATTCTGAACACCCGCACCAAGGGCCAAAAGCCCAAGTTGCCTGAAAAACCACGTTTCATCGAAGTGTCTTCCAACTCTGTGTCCCTGCACTTCAAGGCCTGGAAAGATGGTGGCTGCCCCATGTCCCACTTTGTTGTTGAGAGCAAGAAGCGGTATTTGTTTATCTTTTTACACTTTGATTCTTTACTATAATCAATAATCTGCCTAAACAGCGACCAAATCGAATGGAACCAGATCTCCAACAATGTCAAGCCCGACAACAACTACGTGGTTTTGGATCTCGAGCCCGCCACCTGGTACAACCTGAGAATCACCGCCCACAACTCTGCTGGATTCACGGTTGCCGAATACGACTTTGCCACACTGACAGTCACCGGAGGTATTTATGATCTGTTCTCCGATTCTCACCCTATAAATATATCCCTGCATTGCTTTGTACATAAAGTACTCTACGTTGACGGAATAGAAACCCTTTTCTAAGAATACCTCTCTGGCAGCCAGTAAGCCCCAAAAAATGGGTCAGAGCTGTCAAGTAGAGGGGTTTTGGGAAAAGGTTTCCTAAAACTCTGTCCATATACAAATAACAAGATGATAAGCACCAAGCTATACGATATCCACACTATTATGAGTTCATTTTGCCTTTTACCAAAAAAAAGAATCTGTATATTACCAAAAAATGAGCCAACTTGTGATTTTGATTTCCAAAATAAGAAACGATTGCACAGTAATTGATATATTTTTTGTTTTCTAAACGCACTCTAAAATGGCTTTTTATTTAGTATATATTTTAATTTATTTAAAAGATAGATCTTTTATTTTTGAATTGTCAGAACTATGAAAGCAGCTGCACCCAAATAGTGTATAATAATAATCATTTGACTTACGTAAATGCAATTTGTTTCCTTCCGTTTTTGTTCAACAATCCCCAAACGAAGAGCTAATGCCAAGTATCCTTATGTATATAAATGAATAGATTACTAATTCACCAAACCAGCAATGTTTTAAGTTTTTTATTATTTTTTAAAGTTTATTTTGTTCACTAGACCCAAGCATTGTAGAGCTCTATAGATCACAGTATGAATATTTATGATTTTATTTATGTTTCAAGATTTTTCTTCTTTTTTTTTTTGCATTTCTGTGCCCAGTTTGTGACAAAATCGATTGTATAAAATTATATAACTCCAATATAGATTAGGAAAGAAGCTGCTAATAAATGTTGTTGTACCCGCCGAACCATTCCTGAATCTCTGAAATGTAAAAACTCCAATTGATGTAAATCCTGATTGTTAAATATCTCAAAAAATTCTTGTCTCTAATGATTTTCAATAAGAAATTAATTCACAACTGGTCACAGAATCGATTCACTCACCACGAATAAAAACGGGTATATAGTTATGATTTTGGAAAATTAATTTAATTTTTATTTCAAATAGCAAAGTGCTCATTAACCAGTGACTTGGAAAAGACAAAATGCATAAGAAACTCAATCGAGAATCGAGCAGAGCCACCATATGCCATTGCCATTCAAAATACAAAAGCACAACAACCAAAGAGTCCTCATCCTGGCCAGAGAGTTAAGATCCGATCCGAGAGACATCATTTCCTTTAACTTATATACTTATATACACAACAGCTCCAGTCATTTGCAGACAATTTGTTTTGGGTTATTGCCGTTTCGATTAATTTCAGTTTAAACTTTAAAGTTATAGTTATAGTTATAGTTGAGTTGAGTTCCGCCTAAGTTTCCTTCAAGAAGATTTCTCTATTTTCTTGGAATGTTGTTTGCGACTTGACATACATACTCTCGTACATCATTAATTAGATTTAAGCGGATTACAAACAAATTGCATTTAAACGTATTTTAAACCTATAATACAATTACGAATTTTTTCAAATAGTTAAATAGATTTTTTCTCATTCATATAAATATTATTCACAATTTGATGCGTGCTTCAAGTTTTGCGCAAAATGTATTATAAACTAAAAACAAAAACTAAAAATAATATTTACACTTTATATTTAAAAACAAAAAGTTAAAACATGCCTTCGTCTGTATTTGTATATGTAAAGTGTTTGTTAAGGTGTTTCTTGGGTGAAAGGTGAAAATGTTCCATCTATCTCTCTCTCTGTCTGTCTCACTCTCTCTCTCTCTCAACCTTATATGTGTGTCCTGCCACCCACTGAAAAAACACCCTTTGGTTGTTGTTGTTATTGTTGTTGCAGGCACTATCGCACCCTCGCGTGATTTACCAGAATTAAGCGCCGAGGACACGATCCGCATTATTCTATCGAACCTAAATTTAGTAGTGCCCGTGGTGGCGGCTCTGCTCGTCATTATAATCGCTATAATTGTTATTTGTATACTGCGTAGCAAGGGCAATCATCACAAAGGTATCTATAATCCCGACTAATTATCATATTTGTTCTTTTTTCGGTTTCTCTCTACTTCTCTACACAACACACACATCTCAAAACACAACACTCTCGAAATCGTAACACTTGCGCTTCAATTATGAAATACTTTCTATCAAAAAATACTTGCCTGTTGCGTGTGAATGTTGTTCTTGTTGATGTTGTTGTTGTTGCATGTGTGAATATGGTTTGTATCTTGCCACAAAAATAAAAAAAAAAACACGCAAAAAAGGCACCATTGCCCCTCTTGATGATGGAACGGGGCATGGCAATGTCCATACCCGCATCCGCCTGCCCGCCTGGATGCCCGAGTGGCTCGACCTGAACTTCATGGTGCCCCTGATAGCCACCGTGGTGGTGGTGGCCGTGGGCATCTGTGTGGTGTGTGTGGCACTGTCCCGGCGACGAGCGGACGATATGCGTGGTGGCCAGAAGGATGTGTATTGTAGGTTTCTTTTACAGCGGGCGTGGTTGCCCCTTGACATCCTATATATTAATTTATTATAATATATGCATCTTAATCCAATTTTAAGAACTTAAATATTTTATTTCTGTTTATCTTGTGGCTAAATGTTGGTTTTAAAAATGGTTTAACAACAAAGTTTCAAAACCAAATAGATAAAACGTTAGGGATTAATCTGTTTTGTATTTAGAACCTGCATAAATCCTCTTATTTAAGTCCTGAATATAATGTAATCCTTTTATTTTTACTTATAATATTTACTAAAAAAGATAATCAGTTATCTCTACCTAATTTTTACAAAAGATCTACCTTAAGTTTCAAAACTTTTGCAATTATATTCATAAAATTTCCTAAAACCAACAATTCAGTTCAAAAAGCCGTCACTCTAAAAATTAATTGAATCTTTAAAACATATATAATTATTAACTTAAATAAGTGTCTGTGGCATGTCACTGTTTAGCTAAATTATTGCATGATTTTCACATAATTTATAGATTTCTATATAAGCTACACTTACAGAAATAAACCCAAAAGCTTGCACCACAAAAATATACCAACCAACCGTCAAATACTCAAAATATACAAAATATTAAATGTAAAAATATCCATATATAATATTATTATATTCCAATCATATGTTAGTGTCAATATCTGTTTATACAATGTATCATCATCGCGATTTCATCGTCATTGAAACCAATTGGGTGACGTAATTGAAATATCTCTAGTAACATCATTTAAATGGATTATTTTGCAATTCAGTTGCAATTATTTATATGCATTCGTTATTAGCCTAAAGGAGTACTATATCCAATATTAGTTTAATCCCAACTAAAGTTATACCTACTATATTGTTGTATATACGTTTTGCTTATAACCTAAGCAACTTTCACAATCCAAACGATCTCTTTATACTCTATCTCTTTATCCCAAAACAATATCCTTCACAGAACAAGACAAATCAAATCTATCGTAAAGTTTTTAGTTGATACTTTCCGCACTTTTCCCCATATTCTATGAAACCAAAACTAAGATGCTTTTTAAAATCGCCATCGAGATCCATTATCGATGATTCAGTAATGTTGAATAAAATCCAAAATTAAGTTCATCGCTCATTTCATGTCATTATTAAACAAAATCGTAATTGTAATTGTTGACCAGTTGGTATATTTTGATATCGAAAAAAAAAAAACAAAACACTTCACGTAATGTCTTTTGGAATCTTTTTTCGCAATTGTAACTTGTATTTTTGAGCTACTAATTAGCACATTTAGTGTGTTGACATGCCGCACCAAAAAAAAACCAAAAAGCAAGCAAACAAAAATAAAAAACAAAAAATTAATTTTAAATCCTTAACGAGTGACGGAACAAGTCGAGATATAAAACAGAAGTAAAGTATGCGAGTCGATTTATTGCGAGCAGCAAAGAATGAAGGAAAAGCATCTTCAGTGTTTCAATATTGAGTTTGCGATATCATATATTAATTCTAGACGATGTAGTTTACAATCAGACAATGGGACCCGGCGCAACCCTGGACAAACGTCGTCCTGATCTGCGGGACGAGCTCGGATACATTGCCCCACCCAACCGGAAGCTGCCCCCCGTTCCCGGATCCAACTACAACACCTGCGACCGGATTAAGCGAGGTACAGTCATAAGTAAGCATCTAAATTTCCAATGCAACATTTATTAATGCTGCCATCGGCTCGTCCGGGAGTTTTGAGGACTCCTGGCCGGGTCCTGGCGCTTAGTTCTTTCTTCCATTTACTTTGCGAACGAAAAACAAACGAAAAGTATTTTGCCCTTCTTTTGCATACAATGAGAGGTAGGCGGTGACTCGCCCACATCTAATCATAAATCACACTAAAGTCAAGCTTTTCTGAAACCAAAAAGAAATTATTAGTATTGCTTTGTTAAGCCGCTTTCTTTTAAGTTATTCCTGAGTCCCGAAATGAACTACAAAACGTATCCCATTTCTAAATGTTGTTGTGAAGTTTGGATATTTAGTTTAAGCCATTTTATGTTTGGGCTTCCATGCCCAAGCTTCTCCTGAACTTTATTTTAATCTTTATTTTTGATCTTGCACGACCTACAACTCCAAATCCCGCCCGTTTTGGTTGCTTCAATCGATTATGATTTCCGTTGACCTTATACTTGATGTTGTATGAAATTGGAAATTGAAAAAAAAAACACCAAAACACACGAAAACGAATCCATACACCATACCATTCATCCAAACCATCCCAAAAAAATAAAACACCAGGCCGTGGTGGCTTGCGCTCGAACCACTCCACCTGGGATCCGCGTCGTAATCCCAATCTGTACGAGGAACTGAAGGCCCCGCCAGTGCCCATGCACGGCAATCACTATGGTCATGCCCATGGCAATGTTGAGTGCCACTACAGGCATCCAGGTAGGAGAAGCGGTGGGGAGAAGCCGCATTTCTTTAAGGGTTTTTGTTTCTGTATTCATTTCCTCCAACTAACCCTGAACCCATCCTTCCATTAGTCCTTAAGTTGTGTCTTAGTTCATTTATTTCCACTAATACTTGGTCTAACTTCTGGTCGCATCAAGCTAACCTTAGCCAACTAACTAGTAAGTAATAACCTAAAACATCAATCAGAAAGGGTATCAGGTATCATGAAATCGTACTAAAACACTAAAAACCAAACAAAAACACCTCCAAGTCTGGCAAATTCACAAACTAATCGATGCATTCTTCCGTCAAGGCATGGAGGATGAAATTTGCCCATATGCCACCTTCCACTTGCTCGGATTCCGCGAGGAAATGGATCCCACCAAGGCCATGAACTTCCAGACCTTCCCACACCAGAACGGACATGCGGGTCCAGTTCCCGGACACGCCGGCACCATGCTCCCGCCCGGACACCCCGGCCATGTGCACTCCCGTTCCGGATCTCAGTCCATGCCCCGTGCCAATCGGTACCAGCGCAAGAACAGCCAAGGAGGACAGTCTTCGATCTACACACCAGCTCCCGAATACGATGATCCAGCCAACTGTGCCGAAGAGGATCAATATGTGAGTAGTTTTCTGATTTTTAGAAACATTAAAAATTATATATAATCTTTCTTCTAGCGCCGCTACACTCGCGTCAACTCTCAGGGAGGCAGCCTGTACTCCGGGCCTGGACCCGAATATGATGATCCCGCCAACTGTGCTCCCGAGGAGGATCAGTATGGCTCGCAGTACGGAGGCCCCTATGGACAGCCCTACGATCACTATGGTTCCCGAGGCTCCATGGGTCGTCGCAGCATTGGTAAGTGTATGATAACTTCGTATCATAATCCTTGTACAATTCTAACTATTTATGCTTTACAGGCTCGGCTCGTAACCCTGGCAATGGATCCCCTGAACCTCCACCACCACCACCACGTAACCACGACATGAGCAACTCCTCATTCAACGACTCCAAGGAGAGTAACGAGATCTCAGAGGCCGAGTGCGATCGCGATCATGGACCCCGCGGCAACTATGGCGGTAAGCTATGAACTTTTTATAGATTTTAAGAAACAGTTCCATTTTGTTGCGAAAATCGGATTAATCTAACATTCGCTGTGAAATATTCGAGAGATTGCTCTAATCTTAACACAACGCCATTCGCCCTCTTTTTCAATTCTATTTATTCTAAATTTCGAATTAAATGTCAATCAGAAGACTCCACTGAGGGTGAGTGATTCAATTGGAAATTGAGTTTAAATGTGATACATGAACTTCATTCGATCACTGATCACACCGCATTCGAATCCTCATGAGCCCTTTCTCTTGAACATCAAAAATTCTCATAGTTCATTCGAAAAAATTCAGGCTTCATATAAACATCCATCATTATCCATCGAAATGGCAAAGAATTTATGTTTGGACTCCTTCGCATCACCTTAAATATTCATGCTGTGTTTTGCTAAAAAGTTAAAAACAACATAAACATTGTAAAATGATCACATATTATTTGGTTTTGGTTTTCAGTGTTTTATATTAAATTAATTTTCTTATTTAAGTTTAAACTTTAAAGTCATACTGCACATTGTGAGTTTACTTCATAGAGCACACTTTTCTTTTAAATGTTTTATGTTTGTATCTAATGGAGGGATAACCGAGTTTTTTGTGACTAAAAATCTGCATGTAATCAGTTTTTAAAGAATTTAAGTTTCATAGATTCAAAGTCACCTGCACGAAGTTCTCCACAACGAACCGTCACCAAATGCACTGTTTTTCGTTTCTAGAGTCTTGATTAAGACAATACCTTTTGTTTTCATTTCCATTTCATTATGAATTTTTCTTTTTGTCTACTTTTATGGAATTTTTAATTAATTTTTGTATAACAACCCACTCTTTCGGTTCGGGCAACCCAAACAAACCATTTCCTATGCAAAAATATGTAAAATCGCAGCTGTGAAGCGATCCCCCCAACCAAAAGATCAGCGCACCACCGAAGAAATGCGTAAACTGATTGAGAGGTAAGACTAATGGGCCCAGAACCCAGATATCTGGACATATTCACAACTCCAACCCCACATTATCATGAGCTGTTGAAAACACTGCACAGAAGTTGTTGATCGTAGTTCTGATGCAGTTTGCCCTTCACGAAATTAAATACATTTTCTTTCTTATTCATTTACTTAATTTCCTGATTGTGAATTAATATACTCGCTGACTCTAGTCGACGACAGTTGTAAGTTCCGAACTAACTAACTAAATGTGATAAGTCCCAAAAGCATGCACAAACACCTACTAACTCCTTACACCAACACTGAATGCATCCCACAAACGTATGACTTGATTTCATTTTGTATTTTGATCTTAATCTTGATCGGTTGGTTTTATTTCCTTATGGTTTTGGTTGAACAGCAAACCACAGTTGAATGTTTTGATATACCCTACTATGAATTACTACTATGACTTATTTATGTACAGGATATACTCACCGCCTGTCTATCGTAAAATATTTCAAATATATTCCCAAGTAATGATGTTAACAAACTACTGCAGCTTTGCGCCTGTCCTTAGCTTGCATTTAAACAAACCAACAGAAAATATTAATCCTCAAACAGAACATTGTGTCACGGTCGCCACGGCGAGATGTGATCTAAGTGGTTTCCTTTTGAGAATTCTTCCAGAACCACCTGAGATCTACTCTCGTTTTCTTGTTATGCTTTGGATGCAGCCTAAGGCTTACAGACATTTGAAATTATTTTATTTATAAACAACTAATCGATTTTTAATATCCCGTGTAGAAACGAAGCCGGCCCAAAACAACTCCAACTCCAACAAACAAATGGCGCAGGATTCACAGCCTACGATACTATGGCAGTGTAATTTGTAAGCCCATCCTGTCGAAGATGGAAGTGGCTTTTTAGCTTAGCGATCTAAGGGCATGAAGTGCGTGGGAGTTGAATGACACTCAGACACAAACAGAAACACATACAGATCATCACTGCGAGGGCAGGAAGAAAGATGAATATATATCCCATATACACGTATAATTATTCAACTATTTCAAGTAATTATAAAGGGGATAATGCCACGAAATTTTGAAAAGCATATTTACATATATAAAGTCTACGCAAGCAGTAAACCAAACAAGCATACGATATATAAGTACATCCATAAACACATAAAATATAAATGAATAACTATCATAAGTGTGTGCAGAATATTACTAAAGTTATACCACGAATAATATGAACGATCAGTAGTGAAAACAAAAAACAAAACAAACAAAAAGAAATCTGAAAAACATACTTATATATAATTAAATGTTTGCACCATAAGTTTTCAATAAAAAAAAATTATCTTTATTTTTCTTATGTCCAACTGGTTACAAATATTCTTTATTTGAAGAACACCAACCTACTACTTGTAGATCTTAAACTGAACTTCACTCCTAACTCTGACTTCTTTTACGATCAAACCTCGGTTTTGGAGCTTTCGAGCTTTACTTGAGTGTGTTTATTCTAATTGAGTGTGTTTTATTGTTTAGGCTGAGAACTTTCCCGATTGGACTTTGGATTCTTGCTTTTGAATTTGTTTTTGTCTTTGGTCCCGAAATTTGAGTTTTACGATTGGGTTTGGGGATCTGAATTATGGGAACGTGCTGAATGCATGTTTCCCTCGGTCTGTTTAGTCTGAGGATTTTTGTTTATAAGTACTTTTCCATCCTCAATTATGTTTAGGTCTGATTTGGGCTAGGATCATGTTCGGTGCATTTGCCTATTTGAATCTAAGTCTCAAGGGTAAGTTCTGACAAATACTTAATGTGTATGTGTGAGTGTGTGGGTGTGTGGACATTTACATAGTTTATGTATAATGCTATGGATATGTCACTCCCCCAACCTTTGAATTTGGCCTGTCCTCAGGTCGATAGATTTGGGTATAACATGAGATGCTCTCCTATGTTCATATTAGGTTGATCGTTTACAATTTCTGGAATCTTTGGTGTTTCTTCCTTTGGTTTTACATATTTTACAATTAGTTTCTTCGGTAAACTTTTGAACTTATAGAATAGATACAAAGATAAACTTATAATTGTAATTATAAAAGTAGTTGTTGTTATTATTTGGAATACATTATAATATTTTGTGTGTGTTTTTATAATTTCTTTTGTTTGGATATATGCTAGCGGTTCTAGTTTTGTTACATTATTACTGACATAAACTGTTTGGGTGTAATCTGCCATTGTATTTGAAAGGATAAATTCATTCAATTGAACCGAACAATTAAGGATTTTGATAAGGTTACTTCCGCTTATAGAAATTTCTTTATTAATGCAATTTTGATTTAAAAATGTTTTAGGGATGTTCCATGTCAATAAAATATTTGGTTCAATATAATCAATTTGAAAATTTTTATGAGTTTTAGTGTATTTACAACCTGTATTTTCTTGTTTAATTATTCCATTTATACATTCGTCAAATACAATCTTTCCTGTTTCTTTATCAAATACTTTTTCATCATGTAGGAAATACTTATTGATCGTGTTCTCTGTTAGTATGTTATTGTCTTCATCTGGGTAGGGAATAATTTCGAAAACAGGGGCTTTAAATATTTCGGTAGGAATGTGGGACATAATCAGAATTTCATTTGTATTAGTTTTGAGCCAAGTGGAAGTTTTGATTTTAAGCAATTTCTCGGAATTCACCTGTTTTAAATTATCATGTTTTAAAAGTTTGGGGTTAAAAATTCCAAGTCTAGTTAGTTGCATTCCTAACTCAATGTCTTCTATGTATTCTGTGAAGTGTTGTAGATTAAATATTAGGACGTTAGCCTGTTGCTCTTTCTCTTCCTCGTCTCTAAATTTGTTGATTAAATCTAATCCATTGTTTACGACATCAATAATCTTATTCAAATCATTACTTTGAATACTATTCTCAGTTAGTGTATCGATTTTCTGTTCTAACTCTTCTTTATCATCCTGATCCAATGTTCCAAATAAGTATTTGTAAGTTGTTCCTACAATGTTTAGCAACCCTCTTTTGCTACGTTTTGCGATTTTAATACCATTAATTTCTCGTTGAAGTTTTCCCACTAAATATTCTATCTGCAATGTTCCTTTGAATTCACATGCTTCTTCTACTAATTTCTCAAAGATTTGTTCTGTTTTCGTAATATTTATGCTTATAAAGTGATTCTCATAATTAGTTGGAATGTCTATCGTGCCTGTTTTAAACATTAAGTATCCATTTTGGGCTTTTATCGGATTTATTTCGATGTTTTGTCCATTCGTCATTTGAATTGAAGTAGTTAATATAATCATAAACATAATAATTTTATAGAGGTTGTTGAATCCATTAGGTTTCTTCTGTTTGTCTGGAATTGTTATATTTACTTTTATTAATTATTTTTTTTTTTAAATTTAGATTTATAATGAGTAATTTTCCTGCCTCTATTGGTTTCTTCAAAATGTTTCTCATCAACTTGTCTGATATTTCCTGTCTTTTTAAACGGGTTAGTTGTTTTTGATTTTACTAACGGAGATTGCTTATATTTGGTATCTATTTCATAATCATGTCTGTCTTTATTTAGTTGATTAATCTTATTGATTTTCTTATCCTGTGTATCATAATCGGGTGTTCCTGCATACATGAAAATATCGGCTGGTACTCTGTTTGTAGCATTATGTTTTGTTTTGTGATTATAAATGTAAAGTATTAACTCGAATTTAGTGTACCTATTTTCAATATTTGTCTCACTTCCAATGATTCGTAGTTTTTCATTAACTGTCTTATGGAATCTTTCTACGTCTGATATACCATTCTTACTTGTTGTTACCTGAATTTTTACTCCTTCCGAATCTAACCAGTTGTGTAAAGCTACACACATAAATGCTGAATCCTTATCTACTTTAATTTCTTGTGGTTTTCCCATTTCATTAAATACTTTCATTATTGCTCTTTTCGCTTCTAGCCAATCTTTACTTGTTATTTCTACTAATGAAGCAAATTTTGAATACACGTCAATACAAGATAAAAACTGTTGATTACCTACTATATAAAAATCCATTACGTATTTTTCACGGATGTTTTGTATTTCTGGGGTGGTTTCGAAAGAAAGTTTTGTGTTTCTATGTTCTGTTTTAGATATGTTACAAATTTCGCACTCGTTAATAATGTTCTGGATTAAGTTTTGATGGTCAGGGAAATAGTATTTTTCTTTGAACCAATTAATTGTTTTTTCTATTCCTGGATGTAATAGTTCTTTATGTCTTCCCAATATTTTCTCCTTGAATTCTGCGTATGTCAAGATATCTTCTAATTTAGTTGTGCATCTTACTAATTTTGTTAAATGATTAGAATTGATTATTTCTACGAAAACTTTCTGGAATGTTGGGAAATCTGAGTCATTGTGCATGTAAATAGCGCTTTTCTTTGTACATAAATATTCTTTAATTATTTCTTTTGCCAGGTCTTCAGTCATTTCTTTATAAGTTATTTTGATTTTGATTTTATGAAAATAATGCTGTACGTTCGTTTGGTCTTCATTTCCTTTTATTAATTCGATTTGTCTAGGGAAATAATTGAATGGTCGTTCCGTTATTGGTATGTAATTTTGGTTGTCTTCCTGTGCACTATGTACGGTTGCGCCTACACTTTCGGCTACTTCTCCTAACATATTTTCTTCTATTTTGGTTCGGGATAAAGCGTCCGCTACATAATTTTCTTTTCCGGGTAAATATTTAATTTCGTAATCAAATTCATTTAATTTTATTTTCCATCTCTGTAACTTCATGTTTGGTTCTTTGATATTATTCAGCCAAACAAGAGGTTTATGATCACTGAGTATTTCAAAACGTCTTCCGAATAAGTAAGATCTGAAATATTTCGTTGCCCAAACGATCGCTAACAATTCTTTTTCTATCGTGGCATAATTGATTTCATGTTCGTTTAAAGTTCTGCTTGCATAACATACGGGTTTATGGTTTTGTGATAACACTGCACCGATTGCTATATTACTTGCATCAGTTGTTAAAGAAAATGTTTTACTGAAATCAGGATAAATAAGTATTGGATCTGAAGTAATAAGTACTTTTAATTTTTCGAATGCTTCTATGTAATTTTTACACTTTATATCAATTACTGCTCCTTTTTTAATTTAACTGTCATTGGTTTTACAATATTAGCGAAATTAGGAATGAATTTGCGATAGAAGCCGCATAGTCCTAAAAATGATTTTATTTGTTTTGGGGTCTTAGGTATTGGAAAGTTAGTTATAGCATTGGTTTTATTAGGATTAGGTTTGATACCACTTGTAGTTACGATATGACCTAAAAATTCTGTTTCCTTTTTCATGAATTCACATTTATCCAATTGTAATTTCAAATTGGCATTCCTTAATTTTCCAAAAACTTTCTTAAGAGACAAAATATGTTCTTCCAATGAAGTGGAGAAAATAATGATGTCATCCAGGTATACTAAACAATCTTTATAGATTAAATCTTCTAAGAGATTGTTCATACATCTTTGGAAAGTTGCAGGGGCGTTTTTAAGACCAAATGGCATACGGGTATATTCATAATGCCCATGTTTAGTTGAAAATGCAGTTTTTGCTATGGAATTTTCATCCATTTGAATTTGGTGGAAGCCTTTGGCTAAATCGAGTGTTGTAAAATATTGGCATTTTCCTAATTTGTCTAGAATTTCATCCATTCTAGGGATCGGAAATTTATCGTTTATTGTGATTTCATTTAAACTCCTATAATCTATTACTAATCTGAATTTTTTCTTTCCTGAAGCATCGCTTTTCTTTGGGACTATCCAGATTGGTGAACAATAAGGAGATTTCGACTTTCGAATTATTCCTTGTTTAATCATCTCAGTAATTTGTGTATTAACTTCTTCGTCAAAAGCTTGCGCATATTTGTATGGCTTTTTATATATCGGGTCTTCGTGTTTTGTTTGTATTGAATGTTTTATTGTACTAGTAAAAGTCAAATTTTCACCTTCCTTGTACTGAATATCTTTGAATTCAAACAAAACCCTTTTTAAATCTTTCTTTTCCTCTTCATTTAAATGTTCGAGACGAAATTCGTTGCATTCTCTAAGTTCGTTGTTTATGGAAAAATTAAATGAGTCATCTTCTGATAGAGGTGGATTAAGGCAATCTTGTGCGGTCTCATCCTTTTCCTCTTTCTTTTCGATTGACTTTGGGCTAAGGCATTTTGGTGCGGTCTTGCCCTTTTTAATTTCTTGTTCGGATGATTTTGAGCTAAGGCATTTTAGTGCGGTCTTGCCCTCTTTATCATCTTCAC